CACAGCTCAGGGGAGTCACCGGAGGACAAGGTGAATGGAAAAGCCGCCGCTCAGGAAAATGAATTATTAAGAAGTGACGGTTGATGATGGGGTGTAATGGGGTTAGGAATCGGGGGGTGGGGGGTTTGTGTAAATTTAAAAAGAAGCAGTGGGAATTTACACTGTTTCTTTTCTGAAAATCTCTCGACAGCTCGACGATGGCTTTCTAGAGGAGCAGGAGGCCCTGGACAGCGTTGCATCAAGCAGCCAAGATGAACTGGGCCCACATTGGTTCTGCTCAACGCCGATACAAATTGTTGAAGAGGACTCCGAGGGAGACGGTTATGAGAAGTTTAGGACGAGGCTTGTCATGGTGCCGTTGGGCTGGCGCATCTATGACACAGCCCTCACAATCTTCAAAAAGCTTTTCCCTAAGGCAGTGATTAAGGACAGCATAAACAGCAACGCGTACAATAGTCCACTCACGACATGGCACTGGCTCAGTTAGTTCCATGCCAAGCCTCCTCCTAAACTCCTCATAGCCGCCATCCTCGGAGTACTCTTCAACAATTTGTATCGGCGTTGAGCAGAACCAAGGTGGGCCCAGTTCATCTTCGCTGCTTGATGCAACGCTGTCCAGGGCCTCCTGCTCCTCTAGAAAGCCATCGTCGAGCTGTCGAGAGATTTTCAGAAAAGAAACAGTGTAAATTCCCACTGCTTGTTTTTAAATTTACACAAACCCCCCGCCCCCCCCCCCGATTTCTAACCCCATTACACCCCATCATCAACCATCACTACCTGAGCGACATCTTTTCCATTCACCTTGTCCTCCGGTGACTCCCCCCGAGCTGTGTTCGCCTTCCTCCTCCAGGGGGGTGGACGACAAGAGGCCACCACGCTCATCGGGGTGTCTCACAAGCAGTTGGGTTTCGGGTTCTGGCGTATCCATCAACGGCTGGGCCAAAGGGCCCTCCTCGGTCGCTCCCTCCTCCTCCTTGGAACTGTCGCTGATGTAGCGCTTTCTCCGCGGATGGTAAAAGGCCCTCGGGACTAAAACAAAGTCCGAAGTTCTCACGGGGGTGCTGAAGCAGTCCATGTTTCCACGATGTCTATAGCACGCGTTCCTGGTAAAAGATGGCCTCTTCTGCCCTGGCTCTGGGACTTATGGGGTGATGGTGCTGCACTCTGATTGGCAGAGGGCGCTGGGAGGAGTTTTTAGAGGGGTCACATGACCCTCTTCTGGGCGGGTCACCCCGCCCTAGAACACCCCCGATTGGTCAAATCTGCTCTCGGGGCAGTCCTATATGACCAAAACCCATTGCGATTGGTAGAGGGCGGTGGGAGGAGTTCTTAGAGAGGTCACATTATCCACTTCCGGACGGGTCACCCCGCCTCGGGACACCCCCGATCGGTCAAATCTGCTCTCGGGGCAATCCTATGTGGCTGAAACCCCTCCTGATTGGTAGAGGGAGGTGGGAGGAGTTCTTAGAGGGGTCACATGAACCCCTTCCGGATGGGTCACCCCGCCCTGGAACTCCCCCATATTGGTCAAATCTCCTCTCGGGACAGGCCTATGCGGGCAAAACCCATTCTGATTGGTAGAGGGCAGTGGGAGGAGTTCTTATAGGGGTCACATGACACACTTTGCTTCCAGTCATGTGTCCGCCTTGACACCGGAAGTAATACCCCCCATGTGTGGGACTTCCGGTGACAGGTGGTCGGGGCTTAAGAGGTCAAGGGGCGGGGTTGATGGTAGGGCTTTATACTACTACCAAACACCCTTGGAGGCCCTTGCCTTCCAAAAGGGTGGCTTTGTAAATTTAGTATCAGGTGTCCTTGGACATTTGAGACTTCACTGTGTTTTGAAGTTTGGAGAAGGTTTGCCTGAGGCACATTAAGATCCATTTGAGAACTGGAACTTTGTTCCTTGAAGGGGATGGTGTCCTAGCTCTGGAAGCCTTTGGTGGCTTTGGAAGAGAACCGTCAGGACTCCCAGTTGCTTTCTCCCCGGCTTGCGAAAGCCCTCTTGTACTTGTAGCAATGGACACCATCTTTGGTTGCTTGGTGGGGGCCATTTTCCCCATTCCATCCTGCGTCTTGCTCCTGTCTGCTGGAAGGAGCCACACCACTGGCATCTTGTTGTGGTTTGATGATGCTGAGGAGTCTCCTGGAGTCCATCGCTGTGGAATTCCATGGGATCTTCTGGGCAAGTCAGCACCTGCAGAGCCAGCAGGTCTCTTCTGTCGAACCTTATCGCACTTGCAGACTCTGATTGGTGGCTGGTCCCTGGAGAGCTTTGAATTCACAGTTCCATTGAACCCGTGTGGAGCCGTGATGTCTCGAAGACCATGCAGCTCAGCAGATACTTGTGTCTCCTCCTGAGTTTTCTGACCCTTCATTTTTCCTGGATGTGTCTTGCGGCACAGCTGGCAGACTGAGACCTGGCCCACCAAGGGGCGGGAGCTGCTCAACATTTTTCCTGGATGTGTCTTGCGGCACAGCTGGCAGACTGAGACCTGGCCCGCCAAGGGGCGGGAGCTGCTCAACATTTCCATCAGGTGCTTGATCTGCCGGTCGTGTGCAGCCTGACCAGCAATGAGAGAATCAAGAATGGATCTTGTCAGCTGACCAGAGCCTGGTGCCTCTGGGGCAACCTGGTGGCGTTGGGTCTTGGGACGATCTGCCCTGCTCTCACCTGCCTGTGCCCCTGGCCTCAGGCAGGAGCCTTCTCCCGAGATAACCTTCCTCTCCATGTGCAGCTCCAGCGTCTCTTCTGTCCCTTTGGTGCCGCTCACACCGGTAAGGGACTTTCTCAAACTCACTCCTATAAATATGGAGTGTCGCTGCGAGCAACTTCTCTGTTCCTGCGGTTTCTGGAGGTGGCAATGTCAGATCCACCCCTGCTGGCAGAGTGAAGTGATTTGGGTTAGCCTGGTTTCCTGCCGCACCCTCACTCCTGCCCATCTCCATGGTGGTATCTTCCACTGGCGTTGGAGGACGTGTGGAACAAGAGGAGCCTGTGCTTTGCTTCCCTGTCTGCGATGCGCTGCCATGGTCTGGGGTTTCTTTCCCTTTCGAAGCTGCTGCCCCAGGATGCTTCCAGGAGTAAGACCTGGCCATTTGCTGCCTTCTGTCGGTGGGTAGGGCATGTACATCCTCCAGCCACCTCTGACTGGGGGCCCTTAGAGGCAACTGAATAGACCGAGCCTTCTTGGAACGCACCTGAAACGGTGACAGGTACGGAGTCACGATGCCCCCGCACGTAGGGTGAGAGAGCCGGCCTCTCTCCTCTGGGGAAGGAGACATGAACCTCCTCAGGGAATCCTGGATCCTCATGGGCAGTCCCCATCTTTGCTGCACTTGAATCTTTATAATGTGGAACTCCAGCTGCTTTTTAACGTCCCACCCAAGGAAGAGCGGCTCCCCTCAGGCTTTGCCTTCAGGGAGGACAGCTTGGGAACCGGGGGTAGGAAAGTCCGCAGGGATTTCCACTGGGCATCCGGCAAACCCCACTCCTGCTGCAGCTTCTTCCGCTGCGTGTGCCAGCCCAACTTCTCCCTGACCTCATGAAGCAGGAAATCGGTCTCCATTTCACTGAACTCCACCCCAGCTCCCCTGGCTGGGATGGTGTGAGGCACCTTTGCCGGGGGCTCTGGGTCCAAGGTGAGCAGCCCCCGCTGCATGACGAGATGCTTACGCCTTATGTGGAGTTCGATGGGGTGGGCAGGCTGTTGTCCCATCGTAGGCAATGCCGCTGTCCTGGGCTTGCCTGGCTCCCTAGGGGGGTGGAGTGGCCCAGGCAGGGCAGTCTCTCTCACAAGGGGAGCATCTGTGTGCGACTCTCCCACCATCTTAGGAAACGCCATCATTTGGATCTCTGAGCATTTCTGAGCCACGTGATCCTGCAGCTTGAATTCCCATTGCTGTTTGGTGTCCCGCTCCCCCAGCAATGGCTCCCCCAGGATGGAGGTTTGTGGAGCTGGAGGCAGAAGAGCTGTGTGGGGTTTCTGGGGGGTGAGGGGTAAGCCCTGCTCGTGCTGGAGTCTCTTTGAGTGCACGTGACAGTCCAGCTCCTCCCGGACTTCAACGCTTAGGAAAAGGCCCCTGCTCATGTTGAACTTCACCCTGGGGTCTCTGTCCAGTGGGCGTAGAGCAGGGGCGTTAGGGATCACCTTGGCCAGCGACTCAGTGGATAGGGTAGGTTCCCCCAGTTGGCTCTGCAGATGCTTCTGTCGGATGTTGAAGTCTGAGCCAGGGGCTGACGTCTGGTCCAGACCCGTGGTCTGCTCTCGCCGGTCTTATCTGCTGTGGGCAGGAGGCCTGGGGAGAGGCTGGGCTTGGATGGGATGAGTGGATCCTTCCCAGCCCGCGACAGGCGTGATCTCCCTTGTGTGGCAGAGGGGCTCTGATTGAGTCACGGAGACTTCTGCCAGGGAAAAGGAGCTGTGACTCCAGAGGGAAGAGGGGATGGATTCCATAGAGGAATAGGAGAACTGGCTCGCCGCAGATGTCGTCACACTTGGCCTGTGGGAGAGAGCAGACATGGACAGATGGGACATGGCCCTGCTGAGCTAAGCCTTCCAACTGTACTGCAATGGGGCAGTGCCTAGGCATGCATGGCACACCACACTCTGAGACAAGGACATCAACTGGCTGACGAAAGACTGAGAGGGGGAGCTGGCACTCAATTGATCTATAACGATAACCCCTTTGTCACATGCACATGTGCAACACCTAGCACAATGGGGCCTTGAGCATGATTGGGGACCTAGTGCTATTTTAATAGAAAGATTAGCTAACAAAAATTGGTTTGGGTGAGGAAGATGTGAG